CAATTACTTTATTTTTACTTTTATTCTATCCAGGACTTAAAAGACATTTTACTTCCAAACAGTATTTAAATACTTCTCAAATCTATCCAGGACTTAAAGACATTTTACTTCCAAATAGTATTTAAATACTTCACAAAATTTACCCTTTTAGAGTTGTGCACTCTAACATGCAAAAAGCAAAAAAAAAAAGACCAAATACGAAAATGTATTTTCCATTTAACAAGACATGCGAGGTTAATCATGCATTGTAAAACGGGTTGAAAGGACTTGGCCTGGGGTTTGATTGAACAATAATGTCAACACTACATTCCATCTTTGATTCCTGCAGCTAAATTACCCAAAAATGAAAAGGGACCCATTTTCTTAACTTAAAAAAACAGTATTTAACACAATCATTCCCGTTAGTAATGTCAAATTTATAAAAAGAAAAATCAAAAAAATAAAAAATTATTGGATCACTCCTCCTAGTAGTGTCTAGATGACAAAACAAAATTTGTTGAGGATCATTTTATCGTACGGACGTAGAATTCTTTTTGGATGTCTCATTGGGACGAATCGAACTTGAGATGAAGCAATAACTTGAGATATAGCGTTTCTAAATATCAGCTGCTAACGACTCAAATCCAAGCCCAATTCTTTTTTTTGACCAAGTCCAAGCACAATTCTCAAACAACTAAATCAAATAAGGGTGTGGTTTTTTTTTTTTTGACTAAGTCCAAGTACAATTCTCTATAAGGTCGAGGCATTAAAGAAATCAAATAAGAGTGTTTTATAAGGTTGAGGCTCTAAGCAATCTAAGTAAGGTGCACATCTAAATAATATCGAAAGATGTTATTTCAAAAGAGAAAAAATTTGTGATGGACTAAAAATATATTTTCATCTTTGATTATAAAATTCAAAGCTTCAAAAATAGTGTAAATCAAGTAGATTTATAAACACTTGAAAATATTGAAGATTGATAACCGATATAAAGAATTTTAAGATGCATTATTTGCCAAACATGAAAACTTTTTTTTTTTATGTCTATATATCTCGTAGTTGAGATGACTGACATGAAAAAAAAGAAAAAAAAAGAAATTGAATTTTGGAGGTGCACATTAATTTGATTGTTTAGGATATAAACATCGTTCATCAAATAATTGATTACATACGAATGGCGAATTGATAAAAAGAAAATTGAAAACGTACAGGTGCTGCAATATTTGACATGGAACATGCAAGATGGATAGAGGAGAACCAGAGGCACATGGCTGAGCTAAGAGCTGGGCTGAATGCCCACTTACCTGATACTGATTTGAGATTGATATTAGATGGGTGCTTGGGTCATTATGATGAAATATTCAGGCTGAAAGGCATTGCAGCAAAGGCAGATGTTTTCCATGTTTTTTCAGGCCTTTGGTTGACCCCTGCTGAAAGGTGCTTCCTTTGGATGGGTGGCTTCAAGCCCTCTGAGCTCCTCAAGGTTCTCTCCCTTCCTTTTCTCTACTAGTAGGGGGCATGACTTTTTTGGTTGACCAAATTATCCTCGTTCTTCTGCCAAAATGACGTTTAAACCCTTTTCGAAGAGAGGGAAATGCCCCTAATACTTTTCAGGGTAGGAACTACTCTTTCCCCTTGATTTAGGAAAGTACACTATAAATAAAGGCACATCCACCATCCATCCCCTCTAAGGGATGGCGGAGATGAAATTTATGTTTCCATTTGATCAACAGACAAAATAATCGTCATCCCCATCATTCTTTGGGAATGAGGACCTTAAGATGGACCTTAATGATGCTATGGATACATGATATGTGTAAGAAATATACTCTCTCCTATGTGTATAAAAAATGGGCAAACTTTCTATAGGTATGTACTTCCCTTTATCTAGCTGTAACATCTGAATGAACGGTTGAGATGGATCAAATTACAATGTCACGCCTCTACATTGTTTTTTTTTTTTAACAAAACTTTTTTACACCAAATTTTAGATGTCCACCCCTCTCATAAACTTTCATGTGCAAAAAATATAAAAATAATATTTTCAATAAAATAAAATGACCAAAATACCTTGAAACTTTCAAGTGTATTTTCATTATTTTATTTTATTGAAAATTTTGTTTTACATTTTTTTAGGTGTGCCCCATTGAGATGATGGCACGCATCAAATCTCGTATTCGTATAATTTATAGAATAAATAATAGAAATAAAGTACTCTAAGACATCGGATCTAGATCAAATGATCAATAGTTATTTGATCTAAATTGGACAGCTAGATTGGGGGAAGTATAAAACTTCTATCTAATAGGTGAAGAATAGAAATTTAGAAGACTTTGACAAATTCAATAGAAGTATAGAAATTTAGTTCTCCTCCCATCCAGCCGTCCAATTCAGATCCAATACGTCTCTACCATCCAACCATCCAATTTAGATCAAATAAGCCACTAAACATTTGATCTCGATCTGATGCATCAGAGTAATTTTTTTTATTTTTTATTCTAAATATTATATAAAACATGAAATTTGGTATGTACCATCATCTTAATGGGCACACCTAAAACAAATATGAAAACAATAATTTTCAA